GGGCAACCTGGCAGTACTCAGCCCACAAGCCAATCATGGAACATTTTTCTTTTTATAAAGATTATTGTACCATGATTTGTTTGGCACACAGTCTGTCCTCAGACAAGTGTGAAATATATATATACTTTGTTTGATTTCACTGTGACTTTGATTCTGACCTGTTTCGGTCGTATATATTTTTTTAATCGGCGCACAGGAGTTTGGTCACCTGAGCTACAGATGTTCACGAAACGCTCTCGGTGAACGCGACCCTCCGCCAAAAAAGAAGAAGATGCGAAAATCCTCTCGGTGAGTGCAACTAGCTCCGGCTCTCCCCAGTCCCCCTCCCCCTCGGTATCCTAATTGCCTGTTCCCTCTCGTTGCATTGTGTCCTACTTGGGATCTGACTGATATATTTCTCATAAGTGTTTACGAAGAGGGAGAACAATCAAATATCTTCGCCGTGAGAAATGATGTGTTTTAATCCAGGTTAACTTTGGGATTTGCTTCCCATACGTTGCATTATCTTGGTGAATGTGTACTTGTTGTGCCTGTATTTTTGTATTGAAGCATGAAGTCACTATAGCATGCGGGACACCTCTACTGAACGTTTTCCTGATCGCTCGAATAGTGAATTCTGCACTGGATGATGTGGTCAAGTACACTTCTTGCCAACGGGAATAAGAATCGACGATCACTAATGCGTAATACTTGTTGAAGAATGGACCACAGTAATCCACATGTATTCGTTGCCATGACTCGGAAGATACTGGCCACGGAGTCCATTTCGAAGGTTGTCTGTGAGTTTTGTGCACACAATCAGCACAGGATTTTGCAACACGATGCAGATCATGATTCAGTTCATGCCACCAGCATGTGAGACGAGCAGGAGACTTCATCTTTTCAATGACAGGATGACTGGTGCAAAAGTGACTCAACAGTTCAATGGGAAAGTCCTTCCAGCTGACGAGAAGCAATCCAACTGTGTGAATAGATAGGTCAACAGTGAATACGTTCGATGATAGCTTGCCCATTGCCTTCTTGATGTGTATATTTTCCGATGGAGATGAGGAGCGGTGGCGATCATAGATGCATTTATTAGAATTAAGATTAAGTTCGATTCACGCACGTAACGGGGCGTAATGTGTTATTCATTGACGAATTCGTTTACTGACTCTTGTAGAGGTTTGGAGTGATAATTGCCTTTCGCACGAATTACAAAAAAATTTTCGTGCAATTCAGTGGGTCGAATAAAACTCACTTATTTTTTTGTACACTCCCAAACCGCCCTCCCTCGTCGAAATGCTGATTGGTTAGCTTTTTAAGCCGGTTGCAAATAAATGTACTATACCCGTGTTTTTTCTTTCAGACCGCAAGAATCTTCCGATCTGAACGACGAGGATGACGTAGCCGCGGAACGTGAAATGGAGGAAGCGGCCATGGACAGTTGGAGCGCGGCGATCAACTATCAGGCTAGCTTAACCGACTCCAATCAGGTCATGGCGACGGACGCGAATGGGCCCACCAAACGGCCACCTCGCATTCGAAAAGCTGCTTACTTCTCAGATGAAGAGGAAATAGATGAGGCAGATAACTGATCGTTTGAAACGTTTCCACTCGCTTTCAAACACCGTGAAATTCCCCTCAGTTACACCATACCCCTCCCTGCCTTTGTAATCACGTGAGCTACTTTCTTCAATCCGATACTGGAAGAGAGAGCATGATGCTAGCGCGGCTGCAAGGTCAAATATTGGTCTATTCAAATAGTAAACATAGATACAGATTTGTCGATCAATTTGGGTGGAACAAGTCGATGAGCCGGTAGGATTGTGACTGGTTAGCTCAATGCTCGTCCAGTCGAGTCGATCGTCTTATCTACGCGCTGGTCACGTGCGATTACTACCCGGTTGTACATTCCGTTCTAACGTTCCACGCTCCCCCCTCCTCTGGTCTACATATTCGAATTTATCGCTTTACTTCACCCCCTCCTGTTTGTACATCGTTCATCATTACTAGCAACACCCAACCGAGGTCTCGACTTATCTCCTACGCCCTGTCTGACTCAGCGTTGTGAGTCATGAATCCACAAACTCCCATTATGATTTTTTTAATAATTATTTTCTTGTATGCCTCAAGACAAACGCGGTGTTTCACCCATCAAACTATCCAATTCAACTACCCCAGTTGGGTGGAACCTGGTTACGGTTGAGTGCCAATTGCAGTTTAAATTATCTTGAGAACACGTTTGTGATCCCTTGCGGAAAGCATGATCCGCGGTCTGTAAATAATTGATGCCGAGTTTTGACTAACCGACTCCGTTTTTTTTGCGCAATCCATGTTTTTGCGACGCGGGTGCATTAATTATCAAATGATCGTGGATGGGAATTCAAGATCAGTATCGTGTTGCTATTGTTAGGGTTTAGATTCATTATATGCCAGGGACCAGTACAGGAACGGGCTACATGCGTTTTCATCACATTTCTTTTTTTAATTTTCGCCTCTTGTTACACTTGNCACTTGTGTTTTGTTAATCAACTGTGTATCGGGTAACAACTCTTCCCGATCTCCGGGATTTTCACCATATGTACGTACCGCATTTAAGTGCACGTGGGAAACGAGCAACTGCAAACGAAACTGATTGGAAAAAGGCGGTCGTGAGTGCCCGAATATATATGTGCCATCATTGTATGTAATTCGCCTATCGGGGCATCACAATGTATGTCAAAATTTTTCGTTACAGAATGAGAGCAAAAATCACATTGTAGTTCCACGATCAGTTGATCCTCCTACTGGCCATCAAGTCAAGTCGACATACGCATTACGGACATTGTGTTGCACAAGAAAGTATTCTAACTCAAGTGTCTTTTCTTGAGATGGGTGATA